AAGCAGACACATAGAAGAGGATGTTCTGGTGGGTAGAGACTACAATTCTGACGCATCTCAATCTTTCCAGTCTGAAAAAGAGGAAAGAAAACTGAGTGAAACACCTGCTAATAACACAAACATTAGCACAAGAAAGACAAGTTCTACTCCACACACAAATGTAGAGTCTGAAATATTTGCAACTAATGCAGGTAAATTACCTGTTGCAGATCATACATGTTTAGTACATGTTACAAACAATACCCTTTTGCAACACAATTCAGGTGATGTACCTGTAAGTTTTACTGATGTAATCCAGGTACCCAGCACACATAGTAGAGCTCCTACTCCTAGCTCTTTGACAAATGTATATAAGGGTAACAACTCAGTGCACTCTCTATTTTCACATGAAGTAAGTGCTAGGCCACCATTATTTTTGTCGGGTACTCAAGGTCACGTAGCTTCACCTTTTGTAAGCTTAAGTAACCCACTGCCAGAGTATTTGCAAAATTGCAACACGGGTTACTTGACAACACTCTCAACTGCACATTCTGTACCTCGCAATCATAGTCCTTCAATGACCAGCAGTACTTTCATGCATTGTCAAGAGCCACTGCACACAGTTGAGTCAGGGCATGCACCAACTATTTTAAAACCTTATTTTAATGTTGGCACATTAAGACAAGTCAATACAATGTCCAGTACACACAATACAGGTTATGTACCTGTCATATCTCATACTGGTCAGTTTTTACCAGTTTCCTCATCAGCAAATACTTTACCTGCTGCTTGTACAGGTCATATTCCTTTTCCTACTTCTTTAGGTAATATACCTATTGTTTCAAGTATGGGTTTCCCATCTAATTACCCATCGTCTCACAAGGTTCAAAACACCTCTACCACAAGCTGTGCTTTGAGAGGGAGAAGTCTGTAAAAAGTTGTGAACATACTTTATACAACACTTTATTACATTATGTCAAAACTCATTCCGTGATTGGAGAAGTCAAAGTGGTGCTCGAAACAACAACACCAGTATATCATCATTTTCAAAACTATCAGGCGCCACCTTATGATGCTCCATTGCAGATCCATAATGACAATGTGTCGCTAACCTCAAACATTGCCCAGCTAATTCAGGCCGAGGTGGAAAAAGCAGTACAGATACTGTCAGCAAAAATGCAGCATGCTAGGCTTTTATAAAAAAAAAAAAAAAAAAACAAAAAAAAAAAAAAACAAAAAACAAAAAACAGCGACCAACAAACTTCAGTATGAAGACAATTCTGACTCAGACCAGAGTCTAGTAATGCTAGATCTTCAGTCGTCTTTCATGAAACCAAATCAAGAGATTCCAGAGTAAAGTTACTTCCCTTTAATGGCAAAGAAGATTGGAAAATTTGGTACGCAAGATTTGAGGAGATCGCAGAAAGGAAGAGAGAGATGGAGTGAAAAACGAAAACTTGACGAGTTATTGCCACGTTTTCATAGGATAGCAGCAGAATTTGTTTATGGCCAACTCGTAGAAACTATAGAAAACTGACAGAGGAATTAAACAACAAATTTCGGGTTTTTGAAACTAGAAAGACCTTTATATCCAAATTTTAGTAACCGGCAACAAAAACCTGGAGAAAGAGTGGAGGACTACGCTGGTGAATTACAAGGGTTGTATGACAAAGCACACCCCAAGAGAAACTCTGAGACGCGAGAAGAAGATCTGTTACGAAGATTCTTAGATGGGCTAGCAGACAGCGATTCCCAGTTTCATGTCGAATATGTCAAAGAACCAGAGAATATAGACGAGGCCGTCCTGCAAGTAGTAAATTTCGAAGAGACTGGTCGAGCACAGAAAAACAAGCAAAAAGCTGTGAGACAAATCAAAGAACAGAAAACTGAAGCCAGAAGTGAGGCCTTTAAGAAGTTTCCAAAGGGAAGTCAGACCAAAAGTACAGCAAAACAGACAGAAGAACAACAAAGAAACAATGACTTAGAAGTACAGCTGCAAAAGTTAAGCAAGGAGTTAAAGTCTTACAAGCAGAAATATGGCACAAAAGAGGAGACTGAAATTTTAGCCGATAACAGGACCAACGAACTACAGCAATTGACAAACCACATGAAAATTGAAAATGGTGACAAAAGAATACCTACTATTGTCTGTTACTACTGTAAACAAAATGGACACTATGCAAGGGAATGTCCCCTGAAAATACCGCACAACCAGACTCAACAGCCTTTGTTGTTAGACCCCATCCTTTAAATGGCCATTAGCCATTTCTGAGGGTCGAGGGATGGCTACAAAGATTACTACTGAGGACCGACAGACGGACAGTAGAGACTCTACAAAAGAAGAAAAACTAGATTAAACTACAAAATTAAACAGATTACCAAATACAACAGGAATTTATCTAGAGGGAATGGTGAATGGGTATTTTGTTCATTTTACTACAGATACTGGAGCTTCCACCAGTATTCTGTCTCACAGGGTATACAAGAAATTAAAGGATGATAAAAAACCTTTGTTGATAGGAAATTCTCAACTCCGAGGTGCAGGTGGGGCAAATATACCTGTTTATGGGTATAGATCCTTTGAAATTCAAATTGGAGAAGTAAGAATAGAGAAACAACTTCTGGTAGCAGAAATAGAAGATGATGCTCTGCTGGGAATGGACATTTTAATGGACAAAGAAAGTAAAGCCGAAATTCATCTGGACAGAAAAATTATAAAATTTTATGGACATGAAATTCTATGCATTTCAAATGATGATGAATCAAAATTGACTCTTAGATCAGCTGACCAATACATTATACCCCTTATGAGTGAAATGCTGATTCAGACATTTGTTGAACGCAATAATGAAGAAGATAAAGAGAAAATGTTTCTTTTTTAACCTTCACCAGAATATACAGCTCAATTTTCGTTGCTTTTGGCGCCAGCAGCGATTGATATTGTTAAGAAAGTTACAGTACCCTCGAGAATCATGAATCCTCTGGAAGAAACGAAAACATTGTACAAGACACAGTTCTGGAACTGCTGAGGTCTTTTTGGAGGTATCAAGATTGGGTTTACAGGTAGCTGAGGAAAACAATATCAGAAGAGTAGCTGAAAATGGAGAGGGGTTGGAAGGTCAAACTGAAGAGGAATCTTTAGCACACTTGACAGATCTGTATGAGAGGTCTGTAAGCAACTTGTCCAGAGCAGAGGCAAAAACCTTGAAAACCCTGCTAAAAAGTTATTCAGAAGTCTTCTCCAAAAATGAATGGGATTTAGGCAGAACTCACCTCACAGAGCATGAAATAATAACTGAAAATCATCGTCCAATAAAACAGCCTCCACGTCGAGTGCCCTTGGCTTTGGCAGATGAAGAGAAAAATGCAATTCAGCAACTTCAAGACAAAGGAATCATTAGACCGTCTTTGTCTCCTTGGGCTTCTCCTTTAGTCCTAGTAAAAAAGAAGAATGGGAAAATACGGGTATGTGTGGACTATAGAAGACTAAACCAAATTACCACAAAGGATGCATTACCGTTGTCTCGTGTTCAGGATTGTTTAGATTCAGTTGCAGGTTCAGGCTATTTCTCTACACTAGATCTCACCTCTGGTTACCATCAAATCAAAGTTAAAGAAGATGATATAGCCATGACAGCTTTTGTAACCAAATATGGTCACTTTGAATATGTTACCATGCCATTTGGGCTAACCAATGCTCCAGCAACCTTTCAAAGAGTTATGGAGTTAGCCATGAGAGGGTTACAGTGGGAATTCTGCTTTATCTACCTCGATGATATCATAATCTTCAGCAAGTCCTTTGATGAACATGTTGAACGAGTAAAACAAGTTTTAACAAAACTACATTAAGCTGGATTAAAATTAAACCTGAAAAATGTGAACTTTTCCAAAAAGAGGTCAAGTTTTTAGGCCATACAATAAATGAGAATGGCATTGCTCCAGATATGCAGAATGTGGAAAAAATTGTCAACTGGCCATGTCCGAAGAATTTAACAGAAGTACGCCAATTTCTTGGGATGGCATCATATTACAGAAAATTCATCAAAGACTTTTCTTCAAAGGCCAAGCCCCTTACAAACTTAACGAAGAAAAATGAACCATTTCATTGGACGCAGGATTGCCAAACAGTCTTCACTGTTTTGAAGAATGCTCTAATTGTTCCAGAAATCATGGGCTATCCAGACCCTAATAAAGGCATTTTTATACTAGACACTGATGCCTGTGATATAGGAATTGGCGCAGTTTTGAGTCAAATACACGATGGACGTGAAAGAGTAATTTCTTATGCCAGTCGAACCCTCAATAAAGCCGAGAGAAATTATTGCGTAACTGACAAGGAATTACTGGCAGTCAAGCATTTTATCGAGTATTTTAGGCAATATTTATCTGGTCGAAAGTTCATCGTTAGATCAGATCATCAAGCACTTGTATGGTTGTTTAACCTCAAAGAACCAAAAGGAAGAGTGGCAAGATGGCTAGAAATTCTATCAGCTTATGACTTTGAAGTGGAGTACAGACCAGGCCCTAAGCATGGAAATGCAGATGCTCTCTCTAGATGTATAAACCCAAGAGACTGTCAGTGTGACATGGTTGACAATATGGACATACTGAAATGCGGCCCTTGTAAAAAATGCATCTCACGAGCCAATAACATACCGAATGGGAAAATTTCCACTCCAAAACTTTCTGAGACTGCAAGAAAAGTAGTTACCAGGAAGCAGCAACAGGAATCCATTTCATCAGACTGCACCATTTGGAAAACCCATTATTCATCTTCTACACTCCACAAACTTCAGGTTGAAGATCCTGACATTGCCCCTGTTCTACAACAGAAGTCGAAAAATGAGCGACTATCAAAAGCTGACTTAGTGTCTTATTCAGTTGCCACTAGACATTACTTTAGCCTGTGGGATCAACTTGCCATCAAAGATGGAGTTCTTTATAATTTATGTAGAACTACGTTAGGCAATACCACTGAACAATTCATCGTCCCAAAAGTTATGAAGAAAGAAATTCTCACCATGTGCCATTGTTCTCTATTATCAGGACATTTAGGGATTAAGAAAACAAAATTTAGAGTTACCAGAAACTTTTACTGGTTTGAATTGAAGGAAGAAATCAGAATATTTATTGTATCTTGTGAAAACTGTTCAGTGAACAAACCTCCTGCACATAAACCCAAAGCTCATCTGGGAATTATGTTGTTTGGTGCCCCATGGGATTGTCTGGCCACAGATTATATTGGTCCTTTACCTATCACAAAGAGAAAGAATAGGTACATTGTTGTTTTCATGGACTATTTTACAAAATGGGTTGAAGCTTTCCCCGTTCCAGATCAGACAGCGGAATGTACAGCTCGAGTTCTTTTGAATGAAATTATTACAAGATATGGTTGCCCTACAACTATACATTCTGACCAAGGTCGAAATTATGAGTCCAATATCTTTCAAGAATTATGTGCATTATTACACATTAAGAAAACTAGATTTATTTTATCTGTAAGATGTTTCCATAACTTTATGTAAATAAGTATTTTAATGAAATTAAAAAAAAGATACTGCACTTATGGTACATGAACTTTCTGATCATCGGTTTTTCTTTCGGATCACCGGGTTTTCATCGGGTTACAGACAGAATTAATTCTAGGAAACAATTTCTTTGATTGTAGAAAAGATTGAAATAATTCTAACATTTCAAACTATGAAAATTTGCTCGCATTATTTTTTCTACGGTATTTTACTATAATAAAAAAAGAAGTCTGATTCCGCCGTGACCATGCAAGACGAGTAAATGTATTGCACCCAATCAGTTTATAGTATTAATCGATTTAATTCCATATGTATATATCTTTATTTAAGAAGTCAATATTATTTTTGGCTACATGTATTTGGTTAGATGATGTTAATCTAATTTTAAATTGGTTACGGACTTTCAACATTCCGCCCTTTGAATACGCCGTATATGAGATTACCGGATAAGTCAAAAATGATTTTTAGGGTTTAATAATTCATTAGAAACAGTACACACAAAGTTTAGTAGCAAGGATTCATAATTATTTAATCGTAAAAGTCGCATTTCACCCTTTTAATATCTGTTTCTAAATTTTTGTGTTTTCTATAGTAAAGAAAAAAAAGTCATTCAATGTTCGTTAATTAATACGAGGTTTTAAGTATCTGATATATAAACGTTTACATGTACATAAGTTAGAGCTTAGCGTAAACGTACAGGTACATGTGTAGTTGTACAGATTCATATTCTGTTGACACAGTTTACTGTATTAATGCAGAGCGCCATTATATTAACAATTATTTAGATTTCTACTCAGGAAATTACTTTTCTTGAACAATATAGTTTTTTAAAGCTGATTTCTTTGGACCAGTCTTTCGGCCGGTCTTCTACATGTATTTTTTCCCTAAGATTTTAATATTTAATTGCGATTTTTGGATACACCGCAGATTGTAAGCTTTAGACATTAAATATAAATATTTAATTTATGGCGTAAATTTCTTCCGTGAAATAGTTTAGTATTAGTAGATAAATTTATTAGGTACAAATGTATATTTTTTTCATAAATAATAAATCTATTTATAGAGTTTTATAAATTTATAATAGTACCCGTGAGAAACGGCACATAATTATGTAAGGAATTTTTGTGCAACAGTTACATGTATGTTAAATATCCATAATTAAAGGAGTCATAGTTCAACCTTAAGATGAGAATTTCCACATTTACACAAATAATCGTAAATCCACACCCTTGAGTAGAAATTAGAAAAAACAGTCTCCATTTCATAATAATCCATTTAATCATTGTCAAAAAATATGTATAAAGACACAACTTTTGTAAAATTACCAGTGATCTCAATTTTTTTTTATTATAATAATTAAATGTACTTCAAAATTTAGATTAGAAGCTTTGCAAGTACTTAAATTAAAATATTGTAGCAACTAAACAAAATAATCTTTTCATCTTGTCAGAAAACGTTCCGCATTTTGAAACAATCCTATCAGGTTTTGCGTTTATCCTATCGTGAAGATCGTTTATCAGGTCTATCGTGTTTTGCGTTTATCGTGTTTTGCGTGTATCGTGTTTTGCGTTTATCATGTTTTGCGTTTATCCTATCGTGCGTGTATCCTGTCCTATCGTGCGTGTATCCTATCGTATCGTGCGTGTATCCTATCGTATCGTGCGTGTATCCTATCGTATCGTGTATCCTGTAAAGAATAACGATGCGGGTACTGTAGCTATACATTTTAATATTTCTTATATTAATATTTCAAAGTCTGTGTGCAAATGACTTTGATCCACAAAATCACATTCCCCAGAAAATTAATTTCATGTTTGACTTATCTGTTAATCAAGAGAACACTAGGCATTACTTTGTTTTGATGTCAGGTACAAGGGTCATGGTGTTACCCAATGGTCCAGCCCCCTGTAATAAGAAGTTAGTGGTGATAGCAGAGAAGTTAAAACCATTAATAAGAGACCTGATGGATCACACAAATATGGTAAGATATGTAGAAGTTGTGACACTGGTCAGCAATTTATCTGCAAATGAGCAAACAAATAAGTTCTGAAAGAATTGGCAAGATTTATACATGTTGTATTTAAAAATGCACATGCAGGAATCTTTAGAGCATATGAAAACTTTTTTAAAAATTCAATAAATATTGAAATAAATGTTTATTCACATTTTTCATTTATTTTTACAAAAAGCAATTTGAAACCAAAAGCTGAGCATTATTAGTATAAATCTACACAGTATAGATTAGAAGTCACCACTGGTTTCAGGGATTTATTAATAGCCCTAATGTTAGTAATCACTCTCATTTTCCCTCCTTTGAAAATGGGATTTAAATATAACAAGATAAATCCCTGCATATACATGTAGAAATTCTAGGACAGAAAATGCAAACTCAAGTATTACTGATAAAATTAGTTTAAAATTTACCGGTATATGGCATCATTTTGATATTGAGTGAAATTAAAAGAACATGTAATATAAGTATGGGATTTTATCAAGAAAACTCAGTGGGACAACTTCCCCTGTTATATTTCCAGAGATATAAGGGAAGATTGACTCACAAATTTCCAGACCGAAATCTGCATTCAGTCAGCATTCACTCACTGTTCACTTATAGCTTGCTCAGCATTTTATGGACTGTATGTTTAGAATTGAATATATTTACAATTTTCTGACATCGTTATAAATTATATACTAATTTTATTCCCTCCAGCTGAAGATGTGGATTGCATTCCTGATTCCAAAAATTGAAGATGGGAATAACTTTGGTGTATCAGTTCAGGTAAAATATATGCAGAAATACTCTTTAATCAGTTATTGAAAATAGACAATACATTTAATATGTATTCTGATTGTCATCAGTTAATGGAATTGGTGGAAAGAATAGTCATTGTGAAAATTAGAATGAGTCGATGCATGTTAGTGCATGAAGCAATTTATTATTTAATTTCAAAGAAAAGGAAAACTGATGAATTAGAATGTTTATATGATGTGTGAAATTACAACCTTTGACCTAGTTCTGGTATTTTTGATTTTAGGAGGAAACAATGGGAGAGGCCAGACAGGTAGAAACTGAGGCTGCCTCTTACTTAGACCAGGTGTCTAGATACTTCATCTCACGGGCAAAACTCATCTCTAAAGTGGCCAAATACCCACACATAGTAAGTCATCTCAAGGGCAGAACTCATCTAAAGTGGCCAAATACCCACACATAGTAAGTCATCTCACGGGGAAATACCCACACATAGTAAGTCATCTCAGGGGGAAAACTCATCTCCAAAGTGGCCAAATACCCACACATAGTAAGTCATCTCACGGGCAGAACTCATCTCCAAAGTGGTCAAATACCCACATAGAGTAATTAAGTCATCTCACGGGCAAAACTGATCTCTAAAGTGGCCAAATACCCACACCTAGTAAGTCATCTCACAGGGAAAACTCATCTCCAAAGTGGCCAAATACCCACACATAGTAAGTCATCTTACTGGAAAAACTCATCTTCAAAGTGGCCTAATACCCACACATACCGTATAACGGGTAATTTTTACTGCTGTAAATTTTTACGAATTTCGGTTGAAATAGGGTGTTTTAATTTTTTACGCATTAAATTTTTACGAATTGAGCATGTCCGTAAAAATTAAAATCATCGGCGGTGAAATTCCACATCAATGTTTTAGTATTTTGAATGCGTTAACATACAAATACATGTTTTAAATGTGTCTGGACAACCCGAAGTAAAAATAAAAACGAAATTATTCCCTTGATAACGAGTGTCGATTTATTAAATATTTTTATTCATCTAAATACCGTAATACGTCACCTGCCCTGAATTTATTCCTTTTTAGCTCACCTGAGCCAAAGGCTCAAGTGAGCTTTTCTGATCACATTTTGTCCGGCGTCCGTCTGTCCGTCTGTCTGTCTGTCTGTAAACTTTTCACATTTTTGACTTCTTCTCAAGAACCGCTGGGCCAATTTCAACCAAACTTGATACAAAGCATCCTTGGGTGAAGGGGATTCAAGTTTGTTCAAATGAAGGGCCAGGCCCTCATTCAAGGGGAGATAATTGGGAATTAATGAAAATTTGGTGGTATGTTTTAAAAATCTTCTTCTCAAGAACCACTGTACCAGGAAAGATGAAACTTATGGGGAAACATCCTCAGGTAGTGTAGATTCAAATTTATTCAAATCATGACCCCCGGGGGTAGGGCGGGGCCACAATGGCCGACCAAAGTTTTACATAGAAATATATAGGAAAATTCTTTAAAAATCTTCTTTTCAAGAATAGCAAAACCAGAATCGATCATATTGATATGGAAGCATCCTCAGGTAGTGTAGATTCAAATTTGTTCAAATCATGACCCCTAGGGGTAGGGCGGGGCCAAAAATGGCCGACCGAAGTTTTACATAGAAATATATAGGAAAATTCTTTAAAAATCTTCTTCTCAAGAATAGCAAAGCCAGAATTGATCATATTTATATGGAAGCATCCTCAGGTAGTGTAGATTCAAGTTAGTTCAAATCATGACCCCCTGGCGTAGGGCGGGGCCACAATGGCCGACCAAAATTTTACATAGAAATATATAGGAAAATTCTTTAAAAATCTTCTTTTAAAGAATAGCAAAACCAGAATTGATCATATTGATATGGAAGCATGCTCAGGTAGTGTAGATTCAAGTTTGTTCAAATCATGACCCCTAGGGGTAGGGCGGGGCCAAAATGGCCGACCGAAGTTTTACATAGAAATATATAGGAAAATTCTTAAAAAATCTTCTTCTCAAGAATAGCAAAGCCAGAATTGATCATATTTATATGGAAGCATCCTCAGGTAGTGTAGATTCAAGTTTGTTCAAATCATGACCCCCTGGGGTAGGGCGGGGCCACAATGGCCGACCAAAGTTTTACATAGAAATATATAGGAAAATTCTTTAAAAATCTTCTTTTAAAGAATAGCAAAACCAGAATTGATCATATTGATATGAAAGCATCCTCAGGTAGTGTACATTCAAGTTTGTTCAAATCATAACCCCCGGGGGTAGGGCGGGGCCACAATGGCCGACCAAAGTTTTAGATAGACATATATAGGAAAATTCTTTAAAAATCATCTTCTCAAGAATAGCAAAGCCATGATTGGTCATGGGACTGCTTTTGGATTTAAACTTTTCAATAATAAACCAATTTCTACTTTTTCCTAGCCATAGTGCTCAGGTGAGCGATGTGGCCCATGGGCCTCTTGTTCAATTAATGCACATGTCTACGCACCATTATTGTGGCGCAGCACGTGCCCATCTTCACTTTAATGGAAACAAAGAGAGACAACTCAAACCTTCGTGATTAAGTTGATAGAATTACAGGGGACATGCAATGTTGAAGTTTTTACTGGAAGCAAATAAAAAAAGAAGAAAGGGTCAAAATCTTGAAAAACGGATATAATTTGAAGACTTCAGTCTGTAATAATTAAGCCATTATCAGAAATTATGCGTCCCGTAAGAAGAACCAGGTAGTTGACGATGTTTGTATAATTTGTGCTTTAATTAGATTTTTACTTCTTTGATCCTAATTGATAACCAATTAAAAAGTTCCCCAAAATACCAACAGTTATCAGTACTAATTCTATAGCCCCCAGGTACTTAGCTAAATGGCAGTGATAGCACTGAAATACTCTCATAATACGATGTTAAAAATTAGGCAAGGCTTATTTTACTTCTGTGAAATTTTACGCGTTTAAATTTTACGGATTTATAAAACTCGTAAAAATTAGTAATGATTAGCAGCACGTAAAAAATACCTGTTATACGGTAGTACATCATCTCACGGGCAAAACTCATCTCCAAAGTGGCCTAATACCCACACATACTGTAGTTTTGTCATATTATGGACAAAACGCATCTCCAAAGTGGCCAAATACTCACACATAGTAAGCATTGGGAAGCAAATTGAAAGTGGGCTGGGGGGGAAGGTAAGTGAAAGAGAACAAAAATTTCAAACCTACAAAAGAAAACTTGACAAGCCAAAATAAAAAAAAAAAAAAAATTGTCTCAACATGAAAATCTTATTTCAGTGAAAGGGGGGAGGGGGGGGGATAAGGTGGAACTTCTTTCAGTACCAAATTTTTTTTCCAAACACTAACACTTACCCATTTTTAGCTCTACTGGTCAGAGACCAGAAGAGCTTATGCGAGAGTAAGGTGTCCGTCGTCTGTCCATCTGTCTGTCTGTCTAGCTGTCCGTCTGTCTGTAAACAATTATTCAAAACGGTACTCCTACAGTTTTGTTCTGATTTCAATATAACTTGGCACACAAGTAGACTACACAAGATACATAATTTCATGCATTGGTTTTTGAATTTGATGAGCGGTGTTGCCATGGTTACTAAAAATAAAAATTTTGGTGAAATTCCTTTAAAACGCTACTCCTCCTACAGTTTTGATGTGATTTCAATATAACTTGACACACAAGTAGACTACATTAAGGTACATAATTTAGTGCGTTGGTTTTTGATTTCAATGAACAGTGTTGCCTTGATTACTAGAAAGAGAAATTTTGGTGAAATTCCTTTAAAATGCTATTCCTACAGTTTTGGTATGATTTAAATAAAATTTGTCACACAAGTAGACTACACTAAGATACATAATTTAGTGCGTTGGTTTTTGATTTCGATGAGCAGTGTTGCCATGGTTACTACAAAAAAATTTTGATGAAATTCCTTTAAAATGCTACTCCTCCTACTGTTTTGGTGTGATTTCAATATAACTTGACACACAAGTAGACTACATTAAGATACATAATTTAGTGCATAGGTTTTTGATTTCAATGAACAGTGTTGCCTTGATTACTACAAAGAGAAATTTTGGTGAAATTCCTTTAAAATGCTACAGTAACTCCTACAGTTTTGGTCTGATTTCAATATTACTTGGCACACAAGTAGACTACACTATGACACATAATTAAGTGCATCAGTTTTTTATTTCGATGAAGTGTTGCCATGGTTACTAAAAATAGAAATTTTGGTGAAATTCCTTTAAAGTGCTACTCCTCCTACAATTTTGGTTTGATTCCAGTATAACTTTGCACACAAGTAGACTCATTCTTGCTCTAACTATACTGATGTTAAAAACCATACTCCCCACTCTGTGTTTTTTCCTAAAGTATTTGAGACAGCTAGAATACTTTTTCTTAAAGTGAACTTGATCAAATGATTGTGGGTCAAAGGCATAATGTACACTTTTTTCCCAGTGACCTTGTAAATATTGCTGGAATGACCTTTGGCCAAAAATCAAGACAAACCTTGGAACAAATATCGCCCTCATTTCAAGACAGTACCATGTATTTTAAATATCTTAGTGTGGTACAAATTGTACATGGTTTCACTAAACATTTATGTGGAACAATAATATAATTTTTAACAATCTTCATACATTCTGATAATGATTTGTTTTAAATCACAGGATGACTACAGACAAGCGGTGAGGGAATTAGACGAGAAAGAATATGTCAGTCTGCGCCTCATCTGCTGTGAAGTCCGCAACCACTACGTAAGTATCCCGCAAATAGCTGCAGATCTGTAGCTCTCTGGTCTGCAAAAAAATATAGATGGACAACCAGAGAGCTGCAGTGCCAACTATTGATAAAAGTGTATATTCATTATGTATAAAAAAAATGTGTTGTTTTCTCAATTTATTTCTCTTATATTTACATGTATGCTGCCATTTCAAAATATTACTAACCGTGTGTTTCTAGGGTGTTCTTTTTTTTACTTCCACAACAAAACATTTCCCAAAACAAGGCTTGAATTTGAGACCATTAAAAATTTCGCTTATTTATATATTGCTATATATTAATGGTGGGAAGATAATTCAGTCTGATCCCCTTTGTGCATGGCTTGTACAATGCAGTTTTCTTGCAGAAGTAGTAAAAGATTATGTAGAAACACACATTTATAAATATTTTGAAATATGAATTGAAAAAAAAAATTGAGAAACAGCCTACTTTTTGTGCTTAATAAATATACACTTTTTTCAATGTAGTCCTCTGGTTGTCCATCCCAATTTTTTTTTCAGACCAGAGAGCTACAGATCTTCAGCTAAGGATAAATATGTTTTAAGTGTACAATTATGATAAAGTAAAATTTATACATAATCATCAGTATATAACTCTTTTGTCTATAACCTGTTCTTGTTTATTTTAGGCAAGCCTCCATGACCTGGTGTTGAAGAATATCGACAAAATCAAGAAACCAAGATCAGCAAATGCTGACAGTCTCATTTACTGATGGCAATTAACAGATTAATTGATAAATTAAACACCTTTAATTAATTTTTTTGGCATAAACAAACCAAGGAAACATCAATGTTACTAAAATTTAAAAATTGGATGAACACAGCATGGGGCGCCGTACAAGCAGGAGATGGATTGTTGCATTGTTTGGTGCTAAAAATATCAGCAACCAGAAGAAATGTGAATTAAAAACATTATACATTAAATGTCAGAAAATGGGGCTCATAGAGTTCAGGACAATGTAGTTCATCATCATCAGTTGTTGGGTACATAAATTATCAAATCATAGGAATTATTTCATACCATTCAACCTTGCAATGTTTTATTGTTACTAAAAATATCTGTTGGATGATTGTACCCCGGCCGTTTTAAATTCATTGATTTTACAATGCTGGTAGTTTTTATTTCCTTTTTTGTCTCTATTGAAATTTCATTTTGATATTTTCCATTTTCATATTTCAAATCACAATATACATGTAATAATATTGTGTTTTCCTCTGCAAATCAGATTGTTGACAAATTAAACGGAAATTGAAAACTTGTTTTATCAAATGTAAAACCACCATTAAATGGATATATTGAATGGGGGAATAAAGAGATAAAAGTCTTTAAAATGTTATTTTTTTAGTATTTTTGTGAATGCAGAGAGAGCATTCATAGAGTTTAAATGTTCAAAAGCTTCATGATAAGAAATATTGAAAGAATATGTTAATATATAACTTTATACAATAATTTTTATTCTCTTTTTCTCAATAGAAAAATCCTGACCGTAAAAGTACTAAAATATCTTAAAGGAAGTTTTTTTTTAAATTCAATTTTTTCCTAAAAGTAGTGGGATTATTTAAATGAAAACTTTGATGATTATAATGTCAAACGCTCGTCCAAGTTCATGTGTTTAATGGTGAGACTTGTTTTTAGCAAATTGCATGTACATGTATTAATGAAATAAAAAATGAAAGATTTATTTTGTCTGAGATGTGTGCTTTAGTAAAAATATGGTCCGTGAAAATTATTTTGAGGTGATTTTAGTTTCATTGTTCATGCATAGTTTCAAGAGACCTATGAATTTGCCATCTGCAAAATTTAATTTTTCAATATTAATAATATAAAATCCCAACATACTCTATTATACTTTTTATGCTGAATCAATAATTTATGACCTCAAGATAATTTGATTTTGCAGTACATTGTAGTGTTTCTGTTTTATTTTTGTCACTACACGATCTGTGTTGAGACCTAGATTCTGTATTTAGGAAGGCCCATACTTTTAATTAGCAAGAACTAGATTTAAACAAAAGAAATCTGAGAACAACCCTTATACATGTTATAGTTTAGTAGAAAGTATTTTTATTGGTGTTGTTTACTGTTGGTCTGGTCAGCATTTTTGTACATTTAGACAGGTCTCCAAAACCACGAGGAATTTGACCATCTTTTGCACAAAGCAAAATGTTCAAAATATCCCTGAAGGATGTAGAAGGTGATTCATGTTTATATACTAGATTAATTATTTTGATGATCCTGAGCATCTTCTTTCTCTTGCTTTTGGGCAACATAGCTTCATTTATCAGTTTATTTGGTAGTCTCTGGATCCTCTATAAATGATTGTTGTGTCCTAGGCACACCTCTTCTCTATGCCTTGATCAAATAATTTCAATTTTTATGAAATTTTTGCAAATTTTGGAGATCTTACATACAGTATTCTTTCATATTAGGTAAATAACCAAATGAAAATTTTGTTACAATGAGATTTAATTTTCACCTTCATGTTTGTCACACTGCAGACCTCGTTCACCCATCTCCTTTCAATAGTCGTGTGGTACAGAAATGATGTTTTTCATGGTCTTTTCTGAATGATTATTTAAAATCTTTGAAATTAAAAAGTCAGCATTGGACAGCAGACTATAAAATCTGTGTTTTACTTAATTTTAAATCGCATTTTCCTCAGATATAACCATATCAGGCTTTTCTCGGTGTCCAATCATTGACAATTTGAAAATAATAAAATATTCCGTACGGCTAAATAAAATAAAAGAGCTGTTAAAGGCTTTTAAATTACCCTCTAAGTAGCCTGCCCTTTGTAAATTTGAATAAGCCCTTATGTATCGATGTCCGGAGTTTTTAATATTCAAACGTGAGTGTAATGACGTATATTCACATTTAATGATTGCTGTTAAAAAGGCTACTACACAGTCATATAATAAAACGTTAAAATAAGCTACAAAAGTTCATTACATGTTTAACGATTAAACGTATTCTGCAAATTAAATTGATGAACAAAAAAATCAGATCAAGAAATTGGCATTATAATTATATAAGCCTTTATTACATAAACCACAAATTCAAAGGAAAATTCTGACAATACATGTTGATGACCCATAGCTGAAAAAGATAGTTTTGTTTATCTCAAAGAATAGTCTTTCAATAAAGTTCTGAGAAATTATAATAAAAGAACTGTTCTGTATCTCTTCTGTTTATTATGCAACGAAAGAGATCGTTTAGGACTTCTGGGTTATAGTTAAAGTCGTTTATCAGAAGTTTCATTTGTTTTTCGAATTGATTTATAATTTCTGACTTCAAAGTTATCGTGATGAAGTCGAAGAGTGGGTTTGATTATTGCAACCAGTAACGGTCTGATAGAAACGCACTAATTCGTCGGAATCGGCAAAGCTTTAGAATAATTACATTAGAGTAAATTCGATTGAGGTTTATCATTTAGCAGATACTGAATGAGACTATCTTCATAGTGCAGTCCATTAAATCACGAATTAATCCCATATAGGATATATATTTTTATTACTTTTAAATATGACTCGTTAGCTTCAACAATGAAAAGATTTAGACACCAAATGCTTACGAAAAGAGAATCGTAGTAATAAATTGCTCTTATTTAGCATGATCAAAGAACAAGGAAGAATAAATCTGTGTTATTTGTTGTATGGTTTAAAGTCTTTGAATTCTAAAATTTTAGCAATCTAATATACTCTTTATAAAGAACGAGAAATGAATAAAATACGACATGAGTCAAAAGAGTGGATGTATTTTTACAGATGCCCAAATTCCTAATTTTAGGTCACCTCAACAAAATTGCAAACCCTATCAGATCAAAACTGCATAAATGTTCATCTTCGGATGCACACTACTAGATTATTAATGTGAAACTTTGTCTTACCTAGAAACATTTGATCAGATGAGCTCTGTAATATCTTGTTACGTATGTGTTTTTTAGCTGCAGAACTGTATAGCGTTACGGTTTTATATTTTAGTCTTTTTCCATAACACTGTAGATCCCGTAAAGCAAAAATGTGCATTTACGGCGCAAATTTTTTTGTGGAGAATTTATATACTTTCCAGCAACCTATTTTCACTTCCCAGACACTTTCTTTCACCAATATGTATATTTTATTCACCTCCCAACCCTTTATAATCGTCAAACTCGAATTTTCTGATGGATTGCAGAAAATTCAAATCAAGCGAGTTTATTGCCTGTAAAGACAACTATAAAGGGTTGGGATCTCGAGGTGGATAAAATATAATAATAGTAAATAACTTCAAATGTTTTTGATTTGAACAAACTTGAATCTTCACAAACACTACATGTACCTACTATAAATATTAACGTATGGGGATATTTTATGTATTTATCTATAAAAACAAGATGCGTCTGTGAAACACCGATGTCTCCGTATGGCAACATAGCGATTATTAAACTTTCCTTAAAAGCAACTAAGTAAGCTGGTACCCAAAATTAGATCTTCTCAGTTCTCACACAATACAATTTTGAAATATGAAAACCCTAGCACCACCTGTTCAAAGGTTTGGGCCAAGGATAAGTTTTTGAAAGGTTGGTCAAATCCCAGGGTCAAGGTCAAAGGATCAAAGTTGTTGGTTGCTAAAGGAAGGTCTTGTTACAAGGATTACATATGTGAAGTATGAAAGCATTAGTCCTAACCCTTCAAAAGTTATGGTCAAGGTTAAAAATTTTAACAAGTAGGTCAAACTCCAAGGTCAAAGGGTTAAAGTTCTTGGTATCCAATGATAGGTCTTGTCAAAAGTATTAAATATGTGAAGTATGATAGCCTTAGACCTAACCTTTCAAAAGTAATGGTCAAGGTTTGTTTTTAAAAGTAGGCCAAACTCTAAGGTCAAGATTAAAGGGTGAAAGTTCTTGGTATCCAATGAAAGGTCTTCTCACAAGGATTACATTATGTGAAGTATGAAATCTTCACCCCTACCGTTCAAAAGTTATGGCCAAGGTTAAGTCTATAAAAAGTACGTAAATCTGCAAGGACAAGGTCAAATTTGTTGGTATCCAGTGAAAGGGGCTTGTCACAAAAAATACATATGTGAAATACGAAGGTCCTAGTATCTATGTTATGGCAAAGTGAAAGTTTTGAATTTTTGTGTAAAAATGTGACAAACTCCAAGGTCATGGTCAAAAGGTCAAATTTTTGGTACCCAAAGAAAGGTTTTGTCACAAGGAAACACATGTGAAATATGAAAATCATAGCTCCACTAAATCAAAATTTATTGTCAAGGTCAAAGATTTTGCAAACAGACAGACGGGCACGACAAAAACTATAGACTCCCGAATCTTCGATTACGGGGCATTAAAAATAAGTAACATTGAGTATATATGATTAAATTCACGTTCTTATGAAAAATAGTAACGGTCATAATTTCTCGAGTAAGCGTTGTGGCCAGTTGGACTGCCAAAAAAAAAACCCAAACAAACTGATTTTTATCAATGATGCACCGAAGCTTGGGTATATATATTTTTTGTCATGTCCGTCCGTCCGTCCGTCTGTCTGTCTGTCTGTTTGTCCGCAAAAACTTTAACCTTGCTCATAACGTTTGAGTGGGTGGGGCTATGGTTTTCATATTTCACAGGTGTATTACTTGTGATAAAACTTTTCTTTGGGTGCCACCAAATTTGACCTCTAGGCTTTGACCTTGGAGTTTGACCCCTTTTCAAAAAAATTTAACACTTTAATATCCTTGGTCCTAACTTTTGCACAGTTAATTTGTACTAGGGCTTTTATACTTCACATTTGAATACTTTATGAATACATATTGAATACATTATGACAAGAACTTTCAGTTGGTATGAATATTTTTACCTTGACCTTAGAGTTTGACCCACTTTTAAAAAACATAAACCTTGGCCATAACTTTTGAACAGATTGAGCTAAGACATTCACATTTCACAGGTTTATTCCTTGAGACAAGACCTTTTGGGTACCAACAGTTTTGACCTGTTGACCTTTGGATTTGATCTGAGAAAATTGAATCCTCGCCGTAATCTGCCATACGGGAGCATCAGTGTTACACAAACACCATTCAATGAATTTGCATAAATTCCCATAATCAAGGAATGCTCTGTGAAGAGTCTGTTGGAAGATTGTCCGGTGTTTTGTGAAGAGAAGCTCAACATTTTAAAGTTCACAACCCAAAAGGCAATTGTTGGTTGAAAAAAATATTGCCGCACGAGCTTTCTCAAAGTTGCAAAAAATAAAAAAGAAATTTTAAAATTTTGAATATTGAAGAATTTTGGAAAGCTAACACTGACTTCTATTTAAATTTTTCATTGCTAATCGTATTTGTTTCGGATACAAATCAATGCGTTTATTTGAATATCCAACTCTCCTGTTTCCAAGTGTAAACAAACTAACGTAATTAGCTTATCATAAACAGCGGTCGTTTTCTAAGGCTATGACTCCATCTGACAATTATAAATAACTCTGACCCTCTATTGATTGAATAAATCTAGGAAGATCATCCCCAGGTATAAGATACCTGGTTTCGGTAATCATCTTTGATATTTAGACTACCTGTGTGGTGAAAAAATCGAAAGTTTAACAAATGTTGCCCCTATCGATTGTCTATACAATAAAATTAACCAAATTGCCTTATAAGAATTGTAAAAATCGTGTTAAGATCAATTTAAACAACAACACCTCTATCCAA